GGCAGTTTTTGTTAAATTCAATAAGGATCATAATCAGCTCTTTCTGAAACATCTTCAGAGTACTAGTGCTTTTGACAATTTTATACAATTTTCTATTCAAGTAAGAACAATTCTAATTTCAGCATATACTTCTGAGCAATATCTTTCTTAAAATATCTTTCATTAACTTTAATGGCCTTTAAATTTTGCTTGTATTCACAATGCACATATTTTGAGGATTTTGTCTCTTAACAATGAGAGGAAAAAACCAATGAACTAATTGGAAGACCTATTTTCAAGTACCGTTTTTTTGTCACCCACTAGGCACTGGTGACCCTGAGTAAGCCTCAATTTCCAATCTTTTAAATTTGGCATGTATGTCTTGCCACCCTTGTGAAGGAAGAGTAGTGTGCATGTATAATACTTTGTAAGCAAGTGCTAATAAACACACTTCATCGTAGTAGTGACACACTGCACAGTGACCCTTTTGTGCCAAATAAATAACAGGAAGTAGTTTTCCTTAAAGAGGAGAGTGTTTAGTAAATATTCTTTACTTTGCTAGAGATAGGGTAGTTTGTAAGGATTTGTGTTTTACACTCACTTTTATTTTAATGACAAACTTGTCACTTTTTTAGTGATTGCTTGCTTCTGGAAGTAATATTCAGAATAATTTTCAAGCTTATGAGTAAGATGATGATGACCTTCAGGACAAGACCAGGTTTTCCTAATGATCATTTCTAGTGCCCCGCAATGAGTAGATCCAAAACCACTACTACTTCAGAATCTTGTAGCTGCCCCACAAATCTTGGTTGTTTCAATGACAGTTTTATACCAAATAGTACTTGGTCTAATTTGCCTTTCTATAGGGAGCTTAGATTTTTGTGAAGCCTGGGAATGATCACATTTTTTTTTAATCTTTCATTTTATCTTAAACATTACAAGTGGCATTTAAATACATTTACAGAACTTGCTGTGTGTGTGTGTGTGTGTGTGTGTGTGTGTGTGTGTGTGTAAACTTAGCTATGATGAAAGAGCAAGAGATTCAGAATTAGGAGAGATGGATTCTAGTTTTGTTTTTAAATATGTACATATTTTTTATTTATTTGACAGATACTATTATTTGTTTTGTATGTGTTTTGACATAAAAACATGTATATATTTACATACACACATTGAATAACTAAATCTGGCTAATTAACACATTACCTATAATTTTTATGGTGAGAATGCTTATAGTATTTTTCAAGAGTACATGTATTAACATAGTCACCATGTAATGCAGTACATAGAGATGAATTCTGTTTTGGTTCTGTTACTATTCACTTGGTTACCACATCTTCTTTGAGGCTTCTTCATTTGTAAAATAGTATCATTACACTGATGATTTTCAATTTCCTCTTATTTGAAATTTGCTTTTGGATAGTAATATCAGTTAGGTTTACTTTCAAATACAAAGGTGAAATGAAAACCTAACATGCGATCTACTATTACACACTGTTGTCTTTAGCTAGGGATACCATTAATAACAGAGATCTTATGCTGTAAACTCAAGTACAATTTGTGCATAGAAAATAACTTGATATTGTGAATACAAAATGCTGTGTTAATTCAGTGTAATTTTTACAGTAGGTTTAAACACCAAATTTTTGATGTAGAGACTGCCTAACCTTAAATGCCAGCTCTCCTAGTTGGCTTAAGGATTAAAGTGTTTTAACTTTTTTTTCCATTCTATTTCAGGCTGGTATACTCCTCCAAAGGAAGATGGCTAAATATGTTGACTCTCATATGTTTGGACCAATGTTGCTTTAAAGAAAATCTTTCCAACATGCAGATACAAGCTTTGAGTGCCCCTATAACAGCAGTACCGAAGATGTTAGCTAATAGATATTTTAGTGGATAATCTGTCAACTGACATCGAGTATAAGTTACAGCCTTTTCATTTTGCTCACTTCAGTTATCTTGGACTGAGCAGTGGGGCCTTTACTGTATTTTCCTGATAAATACACTTACTGGCCACTTCTTATCTCTTTTTCTTGAAAAGTGAAATCTTTTAAGCAGGCAAGTCAGCATCAGGTTACTGTGGTTGCGACTTGGCAGTAGCTTTCCTATACTGAGTTCATGGGTTTTGAGGATTTGCAATATACTGTTCCATTTAGAGCCAATAAAAGTTTAATCAATGTTCAATTGGTTTAGAAAATTTTAAGCCTTCTAAACCACGGCCTTTTAAGGTCTAAAACCATTTTATGATATTGCCAACTTAATGACAGGAAATTTACTCATTAAATTGTTAAACTTTTTTATGGCTGTGTGAAGATATGAACTGTTTCCTGAAGATATGCTCTTACTTGAATTGTACGTTTTAGGCAAAGCAAAGTAAGGCAATGCCACTTAAGGCTTGTTGAGTAGTAATTTCCACTGGGGCAGCAGAGTCTTGCTGGGCTGAATCGAATCGGTTTCTTTTGGTTCAATATTTCTTACAAAGAAAAGCCACAATATAGAGCTTGAAGTTATTTAAAATACTAAGTCATTTTACCTTTCCATTTTATTAACGGGATGTTGCAATGATTTGTAAACTAATAAACTTATAAAGTGATTGGTATGAAAACAGACTTCCTTGAGCAAAAAGCTATATAGTTAAGTACAAAAAGATACCTGATTTGGAGACTCTTTGTTGTTATGACAATGGCTTTTACAACCAAAAGACTAATAGGAACTCATAATTCTTTTGTACAACCTGACTCAAATCAATGTACTCTCCATTTTACTGCCTTACACGAATCAGTCCTGTTTGGTTGGTGAGAGATTTTTTTTTTTTTTTTAATAAACCCAAGTTTGATTTAAAAATAAATTCTAGTTATTAAGCACTTTTTAAAAGAAACCCAGAAGCACATTTTTCTGCACAAACTAGTTACAAAGTTGAAACACATTTCTTATGCATTTAAGATTGTTTTTAACTTTGTAAACCATATCTGAGAGATTTGACACTTATGCATTATTGTGTTTCTTTTGATTTTATTTTGGTTAGGACAGTAGATAAAGATCTTCTGGCATTCTTGCTCACTTTAAATTTATATAAAGCTCTGATTGCCAGCTGCTCAGATAACAAGTGACAAGGCAGAATTCTTTAAAGCATTAAAGTTCCTTAAGCCTAAGGCTAAATCTTGAATACATTATTGAATTCTTTAATATCCTGATGGCTAGCAGATTGACAGCTGCACATTTGGCATGCTTTGTTTTTTGGATTTTATTTTTCATTGCAGATTTATTTGGCAATGTACAGTAAATTTTGTAAACTTGCATCAAGTTTATGAATAAAGAACCATTTAAAAATTACTCTGTCACCTTTCCCTCATAAGAGATACAGTGCTTTAGGTATGTTTCAGGTAGCCTCTATTGAATTTCTGGAATAGGGTATTTAAAGAGGGATGGGATGTGGGGAGGCTTGAGAGGAAGAGGCAGATTGACTTTAAAACTAGAAAGCTAGAGAACTTAGAAACTGTGTACATGCTTGGTATACTCTGCTTTCCCTCAATCTTTTCCCTTATCCACACTCAGCTGTCATTTTCTTCATGGCTCTCTTTAATTTCCCTAGTTTAAATAATCTGTTCCTCCTTTTATATACCTATGGCCTCCTTTTACACAATTCTCAGGTTATCTCATAAGATGTTCAGAGGTAGGACAACTGTAGGCTCAGTATATCTGGGCAATACTCTGCTTGAGATTTTTCTGTGCCAGTTTCATCTTTGGATTGAATGTCATGTCTGGACTTGCAGTCACGCCTTACTTGGTATTGGGTTAGATAACGCTCCTTTCTGAGTGTCTCCTTGGGAGATGAGGAAATCTTTAGAAGTCCCACTCCACCAAGAACACTGCCTCTTAATTTTCCTAGTGCCCACCCCTAAACCAGTGGATGGTGGAAAGAATAAAACCATCCTGATTAGTTTGGACCATTGGTTTTCAAATTTCAGAGATCCTGGAGACCTTTTATTAGGAGGCTTTTAAGGTCAAAACTACTTTCCTAACATAAAAACATTTTGCCGGTTTCATTCATTCTGAAAGGACGGTGGAGTTTCCCGGAGTCTACAATCCACATTTCCTGTTAAGCCAGTAATCAGATTTTCAAAGTGTAAAATGATGTCACACTATTTACTACTGGGGGGAGGGAGATTTGGAAGTCATTTTTCACTTAAATTATCTTAATACATAGAATTATTTTAAAATGTTTTATTTGGTGTCAATATTTAAGTGTGTAAAGGTTCTAGAGGCCAAAATGAGAACCACTAGTTTAGATCATCCAATTTCACTCTCTAGCTGGGAGTCAAATTAAGGATGCCTTAGCTAGGAAGAGCGCTATTGGAATTGATATTAACAGGTCTACTTCCATTCCTTCTGTTGTGGTTCTCTTCCTCAGCATCCATTAGAATTGACACAAAGTTTGTTGAAACACATAATGCTGTGGCGATTTAGTAACCTGAGGTAAAGAGAACATGCTAAAACAATAGTTCCCAGGTAAATGATGCTACAGGCGGAGAAACGGTGCATGGTTTAGGGCGAGATTCCCCTGTAATTATTGGCCACCTTACAAAAGGAGGTGCTACTAATGCCGGCTTACGCAAAACTAAAAAGACTGTAAACTAACTACTTTCACTAGGCGCTGAGTAAAGGCGGCGATTTTTCACAGTAATTTTTAAAAAAATGGATCTTGCCAAAAGTTGGGGATCATGCTAAACAAGGATTTTATAAAGACCAATAAATACTGCCTAGTTCCTACACTAAAGGAACTCACGAATTAGACGTAGATGTGAACTGGCAAAATACAGCGGCTCCAAGTACAGTGAGGTTCAGAAGAGAACTCGTTTCTACTGCTGGAGGGTGGAAGTTCGGAGCACCAGAAGACGCGCACCCACAACATTCCAGAACAGACGAGCGTTCTTAACTCCTGCGCCGGAAACCCAGCGGCCAAAGGTCACGCAGAAGCCTCCGCAGCGTCCCCTCCATTGCCCAGCCGACCGGAAGTGGCGCTTGCGCCTGCGCAGTGTGTGCTTACTGTGGAATCGTACGCCGGCCTAGCCGGGTGCCTCCGAGCCGCCGTAGTGCTTGTGCGAGCGGGTTGGCGAGGAATGGAGCCGGTGGGCGGTGGCGGCGACCGCTGCGGCTCCTCCTCCGCAGACCCTCGGAGCACCTTTGTGTTGAGTAACCTAGCGGAGGTGGTGGAGCGTGTGCTCACCTTCCTGCCCGCCAAGGCGTTGCTGCGGGTGGCTGGGTGAGGAGAGGGGAGGCGGGAAGCTGACCTGTGGGCATTCCCCGGGCTGGAGTGGTGGGAAGACACCTTCTGGACTTAAGAGCTCCCACGTCCGTCCTGAAGCAACCCCGACCTATGAAGTGCCCTTGCTGTAGTATTCCGGGAACTCTTCTGAGTGCGAAGTTCCCCCTGAGGTTTTTTCCCACGTTTGGCTCTTGGGCCGAACCAGCACCCACACACCTACCTCACCTGCGGACGTTGGATCCTGCAGGGATCTCCAGCTGCCACGCTAGGGGGTGGGTGGGGGGCGGTCTTTGAGCCACGGAAGAGGTGAATGCCAACCACCTTTTGTGCATTTGCGTCCCCAGTGTGTGCCGCTTGTGGAGGGAGTGTGTTCGCAGAGTGTTGCGGACCCATCGAAGCGTGACCTGGATCTCCGCGGGCCTGGCGGAGGCCGGCCACCTGGAGGGGCATTGCTTGGTCCGCGTGGTAGCAGAGGAGCTTGAGGCAAGTAAGAAGGGGTGTCTGCAGTCATTTGCAGGGTTGGTGGGTCAGCCTTTGGGAATTGAAATTTTAAAATCCCAGTATTGTATGTGTCCTTGTTTTTGTGGAAGAACATTTTCTTGTGCCAGTGAAAAGCCTTTTGTAATAAACGATAGCTTTAGTGACTGTATGGTAAGGGCATGGGGTAATTTATTTGACTATTCATCAGATGTTAGCTATTCTAATAAAGCTTCACAGACCCTTTCCCTTGAAGCAAGTGGTTTCCGTCTCTGTTTTGCAGGTAATGCAATTGAGTGTCTCTTGCTCAATGCTACACACTGGAAAGCCAAGAAACAAAACTTATTCCCAAGTATTTCAACGCCCGCCCTGTACTACTTACTATCTCTGGGCCCCCTTTTCAAAAGGTGCGCCAGTAAGTGGGAGGTAAAAACGTGGACTGTGAAGTTAGACAGTGAGATTGATATCTCACTAGGGTGTGAAAGAGAGCCCTTTGAGAGTAAATTGTCAACCTGATACTCTAATCACTCTCTGTACTTGAGTATGTATAATGTACAAACAAGAAAATTCTACATAATCACAATGCAGCCATCAAAATCAGGAAACTGTAGTTGATCTATTTTTTTCCATCAGATAGCCTCAGACTCCATTCAGTTTGTCAGTTGCCCCAGTAATGTTCTTCATAACAAAAGGWTTCAGTGGGGAATTCTTTTACCAATCAGTCACTTTAAATAAAGTTCAGATTCTTTGGTCTGGAACAGTTTCTCAAGCTTTTCTTGACTTTCCCAATCTTGATACTTAGGAATATTAGAAGCTAGTTGTTTTGTAGAGCATATATAAACTGGTTATGTCTGAGGTTTATTCAATTCAGATTATATTTCTTTGGCAAGAATTGCACAGAAGTGGTGTTTGCTCTTCTCATGGCCTTCTTTCAGGTAGCATGTGGCTTTCATTTGTCTCATTACTGAGGAGATTATCTTAAATTCCTTGATTTGCTTGGTATCTGTCAGGTGTCTTTACTGTAAAATTAGTTTCCTGCTGTAATAAGTGTTTTGTGGAGAAATACTTTGAAACTGTTTGAGTCCTCTTTCAGTTTAATCACTTATATTTGTAAATACTCTTGGTCTGTTATTTAAAGGTACATCTGTTACTATCAGTATTTATATTGGTGTTCAAATTATCCCCAGTTTGATGAGTGAGAGCCCCTTCAGGCTGTCTTCATTGTCTTCCAGAGATGACTCCATCATCTTTGAACACTTGCCTGGTTTCTGGCACAATGTGGTTTAAGCTTGTCAAGTGCTATCTGCTTCAGTCCTAAAATTGATGATTTCTCCAAGAAGCCCTGGTTCCTTTAAGTGGAGAACGGTATTTAGAAGCTAAAATCTGGACTTTAAGTGTACTCTTGGCTCTTGAGAGATTTACTGCTTTAAAGCCCAGTCAGTGGACAGAACCAAGGAGTGTATATATGTATTTATAGTCATCCCTTTGGATCTACTGTGTATTGGTTCTAGGACAACCCCATCCCTACTCCCCACCATCCACATTTGGAAATCCTTGGATACTCAAGTTTGTTATGTAAAGGATATAGTATTTGCAGATAACCTATGTATATCCGTCTATATTTTCAGTAATCTTCAGATTACTTAATACCCAATACAATGGAAATGCCACATAGTTTATACTGTATTGTTAGAGAATAATGAAAATAATGTTAGAGAATAATGAAAAGTTTGTGCATTTGCAGTACAGATTAACTTTTTTCTCTTTTGAGTATTTTTCAACCATGATTGGTGTCTCTGAACTCAGAACCTACAGATGTGGGTGCCGAATGTAACATGCCTATGTATGTATATACATCTCTTGCCCATTTACAACCATATTTCTATCCATCTATATCTGGAAACACATGAGTTTCTCTTTTTTTGGAGGGTGGAACTGGGGGTTGAACCTAGGGGTGTGTTGCCACTGAGCTATATCCCAAGTCCTTTTTATTTTTTACTTTGAGGCAGGGTCTCACTCAGTTGCTGAGGGTTTCTGAGTTGCTGGGGCTGGTCTCCAAGTTGTGATAGTCCTGCCTCAGCCTCCTGAATTGCTGGGATTATAGGCATGCACCACTGCACCTGGCACATAATCCGACATAGGATTCTTTCTTTCTTTCTGCTCATATTTGTACCTCCCTTTTGGACAGTGAAAAACTTGGCTCTCATCTTTCTTATATTTAGATAGCAGATGAGTGCCCCATATGTGACTGATGGTCGGTTTCCGATTTCTTTCTTTTTTTTTTTAATATTTTTTTTAGTTATACATGGGCACAGTATCTTTATTTTGTTTATTTATTTTTATGTTGTGCTGAGGATCGAACCCAGGGTCTCACACCTAAGAGGCGAGTGCTCTACTGCTAAGCCACAACCCCAGCCCCTGTTTCTTGTTTCTTTGTGTCAGTTTTCACCTTAACTTTTTGGGCTCTGGGACCCAGACCCAGGGAGCTGGTCAGTGTATAAAGGCAGACTTGTTGGAAAACTTTCTTTTCTGACACTTTGGTCCAAATCCTGCTCTTTCCAGGTTTGTTGTTTGGAAAAACTTGGAAGTTCAAGCAAAAACTTTTCCACAGAAATGTTCTTTGGAGCTTCATTTATAATGCAGGAAATTAAAAACAACCTAATGTTAATCTAATAAATGAAGTCATTATGTGATGAACTTCAAGGTTCATTTAATGATAAAACAAAATGTTAATGAAAGTGAAAACACAGGTTACTAAATTATGTTTAGTTAATCTGTATTATTAAAAACAAAAAGGAAGAGTAATAAGCTCCAAAATGTACACATAAGTTTCCTTTGGGATTAGAATTGAGATTTTTTTCCATGCTTTTTTAAACTTTGTGTGGTTTTCAACTTTTTACCATGGCAGGCATTATTTTTATATGAGAATTAGGGAAATTCAGCAGTTGCTTTTCAGGGGGACTAAAAAAGACAGAATCATAACATCTCAGGACTAGACTTCAAATATTTGTCTAAGAATAGAAAACTTGAAGCCTAAAACTTTGTGAGGGTTATTCTGCTGGCATATGGCAGAGGCGGTACTAAGCCCTAACCCTCTTGGCCCCTTTCCTAGGTTTCACAGACTGAAATGCCCTGACGGCCAGAATGGCAGTTAAAGTGGAGTAGTGGCTCAGAGGAATAGTAAGGCCATACCAGGTCTTTCTGTCAGGAGGCATGCAGTCTGTGTTGTTAGAATGCTCTGATTTTCAAAAGAATGTGGAAATCCTCATTTTATCCAGAAATTTTGTGGAATTTTAAATTTTGGCAACCATTTTGCAATTTTTAAAAAATGCTACGGGGACCAAGGAATGTATATTTATAGGTTATATCCAGCCTGGAGGCTACCACAGGTCATCATGCTTAGTATCTTATAAGTTTATCTATCTGGAATCTACTCTGAACTTACCAAATTACAATGAATCATCTTTTTTCCCCATCTGACCAATAATGAAACTTTATTATAAACTGAGTATTTTATTCTGATGGTTTTCACACACCAAAAAAAAGGAAAATATCTTCATCCTTTCTTTTAATTCAACCACATGTCTGTAATGTGAAGTTTAGTGAAAAATCAATGAATATGAATAAGCAAGCCCTGCTTGTAGAGGAGATAGGACACAAATAAGGATCCCAAGTACTGAGGGAGTCTAGGAGCAGACTAAGACAGGAAGAGAGCTGCAGGGGACTGGGGAAATGGGCATGTCTGATAATAGGAAACTAAGGGTCCTTCAAGGAAGCTTGAAGGTGGGGCTAGATATGAGGAAAGCCTGGACTATTTGACATGCTAGGCAGCAAGGAGAGGAGTAATAGAGCAGCATTGCACCTTCTGTCTGGTGAAAGGTTTCTGTTAAAGCAGGTGGCATCTTTTGCTGGTACTTAAGAGCTTAAATTACCATTATAAAAATGAACTTGAGGGCTGGGATGGATTTGACTTCAAGAAGTAATTAGGTGCTCAGTAAAATGATCTTAAAATGCAAGGGCTAGAGTGAAGAATGAGAAGTAGATGAACTCGGAACCAAACATTGCCCTAAAGGAAGGGAAGGTGGGGGGGCATCAGTAGTTTGGACCAGGGAGATACCATGAAAGTGGTCACAGATTATGGGATTCAATTTGATTTTTTGTTTTCTTTGCAGAATGTTCGTATCTTACCACAGACAGTTCTCTACATGGCTGATTCAGAAACTTTTATTAGTCTAGAAGAGTGTCGTGGCCATAAGAGAGGTAAGTATCAAAAGAAAAAGCCCCCCACCCCCATTTTACTCTGTACCTTCTTTATGGAGTTACTTATGACTTTGCCTAAGCAAGGCTTTTAGTGTGCTGGCTTATCAGGTCCCTTTTACCTACAGATCCTGTAGGTAATTGTGTGTTCTTGGCTTGCTAAGAGAAAAAGCAGACGAAGCATCCATGATGGGCACATTGAGGCCCAGAGTTTGACTTAGACAATGGTTTATCATTGTCTAATTTGACTCTGCAGTCATGGTAGTTCTGCTGTAACATCAGCTAAATGAAGAGGTACAGTAAACAGCAAGCTTCAAATTTAGCTGCAGCTGTTAAATTTGATGTCACTGGGCCAAGAGCAGTACATAAACAAATGTCAAAAACAAACTAGTAATGCTAAAGGTCAGATTTAGAGTTTAAAATATAATGCAGGAGCCAAAGTGGAGAAACCTTTTCTTTTAATTGAAGCTTTTAGGCTTTCTTTTAAATCATTCTCTTGTCAAATATTTGCCTTTTTTTTTTTTTAACATTGTCAGATTTAAATGTAAATGGATGATATCTAATAATTTTGCTACTATATTATTATAGCAAGGAAAAGAACTACTATGGAAACTGCATTGGCACTTGAGAAGCTATTTCCAAAACGATGCCAAGTCCTTGGGATTGTGGCCCCAGGAATTGTAGGTGAGAGAAATTGGCAACTTGATGATTTCTTCCTTGCTTTAAGTGGGGTCCTATAGAGTGGTGAATTATTTGTAGGTGAAAAGCACATTATTCTTTCTGGTCATTTAAAATACAATAAAGTTGGTCATATTTGCCATGATTTTACATTTGACTTAAGTTTGTTGTAGTTAGTAATTCAAGTCTCAGTGCTGCTACCTGTATAAAACAAATATAATGCATCTCTTTTCAATAGCCATTCATTAGAGGGAATGTTTGATCACTGAATTTTTGCTGTTTTCATTGTTGTTGTTGTTATTATTATTATTATTTTGTTTTCTGTAGGTAATGGGGGAAAGAGAGTCTGTTGAGGCAGTACAGGTATAGTGGCTAAGATACATACCTACTTGGATTCCAGCGGTACTGCTTAGTGTCTGTGGCACTTTGAGCAAGTTATCTGACTTCTGTAGGGCTTTAGTTACCCCATCAGTGAAATGGGATGATGATTGTGGTGATAGAACCATCCCTGGAGTATTGTGAGGATTAAATGAATTAATACCTGTAGTGCATTTAAAAAGAGATGTGCAGTAAGCAAATGTTAGCTATTATTGTTTTCTTTGTTCTGACTTGATAGTACCTAGTACTATCAAGTTAAAAACTGGCCTCTTTTTCTAGTTGTTGACCGACCTTTATTTTCTTACATGCGGTGCTGAGAATTGAACCCAGTGCTTCCTCACACATGCCAGGCAGGTGCGCTACCAACTGAGCCTCAGCCCCAGCTCTCCTTAATCTGGCATTTTTAATCTTCACTGAAAACTTTTTTTCTTTGTGGGCCTGGGATTGAACCCAGGGCTTCCTGTGTTTGGTAAGCACTCCACCACTGAGCTATCTCTGCAGCTCCAAAAGATTTTTGCTGTAAATTTGGGAATCTTGTATAATGAAACAAAGAATTTCAAGAGAAATGAATAGGGTAAATACATAGTTGATAGGGACTGTTTCATCAGCTCCCCACTACTGTACTATTATTCTGTCCACCCACTCAGGCATGCCATTTCTGATTGGATTAAAGAAACGATAGCAGTGACCCTGGTTTTCTTCAAACCTTTGAATTGTCCTTAAATGATTGATCATTTCTTTACCRTTACTGGTTACTAATAAATACAGAATCATAGCTCTTTTTCCTTGCATCATCATTTTCTTGGTCTCCCCTCTGTATCTACTGTGGCTTCTCTAAACATACAAGTTTTTTCTTTTTAAAATTTCTGCTGAGGGGGATAGGGGAGGAGAGAGAGGGTAGGGCCAGACCTGGGTGACATTCTCCCTTGGGAGCCTTGGCCTTACTCGGCATTAGTTTTGATTTGTGTTTCTCATCCCCCTAAGTTCTGCTGTGATCTTGATGTCAGGACAGTGCCATTCCAGCTCCTTTAGTCAGGGCTTGGTCTCTTGTATCTTCTTGGTTTCCTATTACCCTTTTTACTGTTTCTGATTCCTCTACAGCTGGTACTTTCTTTGAGTCAGTTCCTCATGTGCCTGAACAAAGTTTCCACCAAGATAATTTTTCTTAGGCCACTGTACAGTGATTGTTTATAAAACAGCCATGATAGTTACTAGTCCCATCTTCCTTCCTTATGGTTGGAAAATTTTCAAGTTTGAGAAAAATCTGTTCATTTTTTACAGGTGCATATGTTACTTTTCCACAGATAAACTTTACCTACAGTCAAATGTAAAATCTTTAGTTTAAAATTTATTGAGTTTTGACAAATTTATGCCCTTCTGTAATCAACCCACTAGTCAAGATAGGAAATACTTTCACCACCTGGGAGAGTTTCTTCTCATTTCCTGTTAATTCCTGCCTTTGAAAACTTATTTTGATTTTTGTGACTGTAGGTTAGTTTTGCCTGTTGTGAATGTCACATAAATGGATGTGATCTCTTTTTGTGTTTTATCTTTCACTCAGTATAAATATTTTTAACAATGTGTTTTTGAGATTTGTTTGTTATGTTAATCAGTAATTCTTTAAAAAATTTGTCAAGTAGCATTCCATTATATAAGTAGATCATGATTTGTTTTCTCATTCTCTTTTTGATGAACATTGTTATAATTTCCAGTTCCTAAGTATTATGAATGAAGTTGTTAAGAACATTTGCCTTTGTGTATAGGTCTTAAAATTCTTCTTAGGCACTCACCAAGAAGTGGAATAGGAGGATCTTAGTGTTGATGTAAATTTAACTTAAAAGGAAACACCAGTTTTCCAAACCAGTGATGTATGAGAGTTCCATTTGCTCCATATCCCAATAGTCATGATTTTTGTTAATTTTAGCCATTATAATGGGCATGAAGAGGCTTATGATAGTTATAATTTAAAGTTTTCTAATGACTAATTATGCTGAGAACTTTTTCATGAGTTTATGGGCTATTTCTATGTCAGTTTTATGAAATGTCTTTTACTGATTTTATTGGAATGTTTGTCTTATTGAGTTTTAGGAGCTCTTTATATAGTTTGAGTCCTCTAACAGGTGTAGGTATTATAAATGTTTTCTCCTGGTCTGTGGCTTTTTATTGTCTTAACAGTTTCTTTTGATGAGCAGAAAACTTTAGTTAAGTTCAGTTTATCAATATTTTTCTTTCATGGTTAATTTTTTAAATGTCCTTTATAAGAAATCTTTGTCTATCTCAGATTTACAAAGGTGTTTAATCTCATGTTTTATTCTATAAACTGTATAGTTTTAGCTTTAATATTTAGTTCTGTGGCCTAACTTGAGTTAATTTTATATTTGTTTGTAACGTAGGTGTTTAAAGTTAGTTTTTTCCCCATGTTTGTGTAGTTATTCTGTCACCATGTCTTTGAGAGTTTTCTTTCCTTATTATGTTGTCTTGGCAACTTTGTCAAAAATAATTTGTTAGAAATAATTGAGCCAGGGCTGGAGTTGTGGTTCAGTGGTAGAGCACTTGCCTAGCACGTGTGAGGCACTGGGTTTGATCCTCAGCACCACATAAAAATAAATACAGGTATTGTGTTTATCTACAAGTAAAATTTTAAAAAATAATAATTGAGCCTGATTTGGGGTTTTATTCTCTTCCCTCAATCTATTTTCTATCCTTAAACCAAATAATATCATCTGGATTCTTGTAGACATCAGTGTTCTTGTTAAGGATTATTTGGCTCTCTGGGTCCTTTGCATTTTCACATACATTTTCAGTATATCAATTTCTACAAAAGAGTCTTTTTTTTTTTTTTTTTTTTTAAACCAGAGCGCTGTTTTGTCTGATTTTATTTTATTTTATTTTTTTTATTTTATTTTTTTTAATATTTATTTATTTTTTAGTTCTCGGCGGACACAACATCTTTGTTGGTATGTGGTGCTAGGGATCGAACCCGGGCCGCACGCATGCCAGGCGAGCGCGCTACCGCTTGAGCCACATCCCCACCCCTACAAAAGAGTCTTGTTATTTTAATGCAGATTGTTTTGCAGTCTTCTAAACACATGTAAAAAAAATTGCTCTTACATTTTGATATTTTCCGTGGAACAAAGGGCCTTATCATAAATTCTGAATTTTTGTTTTCATGTATTTAATTCAGAATATATTTTGTGGGTTTGGTTTGATTTGGAAATTTTCTCTTTGAGTATATATATATTTTCATTTTGCCCTAAATTTGGTCAATTTGGTTTGTGATATGCTTAACACTTTTTTTTTTTTCTGTAGTTAAAGATGGACAGAATGCCTTTATTTTATTTGTTTATGTTTATGTGGTGCTGAGGATCGAACCTAATGTCTCATGCAAGCTAGGCAAGTGCTCTACCACTGAGCTACAACCCCAGCCAGTTTTTTTTTTTCTTTTTTACGCTAGTAATAATAATTTAGTATTACACAAAAGAAAAAAAAATAAGCACCACGGACTTAACCACTCTATTAACTTTATAAGATTTGTGTTTATATTTGTGGTGTAGGTAAAACCAGAATATAATTTTCTGTGATTTGTAACTTACTGTATTATGTATTAGTCTGCTAGGGTTGGACAAAATACTACTGTCTGGATGGCTTAAACAACAAATTTATTTTCTCATAGTTTGGAGGCTGGAGGTCCAAGTTCAGCATTAGTTTTTCCTGAAGCTTGCAGACAGCCTTCTTCTCTCTGTTCCTTTTGTATACCTACCTTGTCTTTGTACAGAGTGAGCCTGGTGTCTCTTCCCCTCTTATGAGAACTTTAATCCTGATGGAATAGTGCCTACTCTTATGATGTCATTTAACTTTTACCTCTTTAAAGACCTTATCTCTAAGTACAATCACAAAGGAGAAGTTAGGCCTTATATGAATTTGGGGAGGGGGTACTCTATTACATCTGCCTTTAAAATGCACAGCACATTACAAACATATTTTCAGGTCAGCAGATACATATCTGGCATCAGTCTTAATGGCTACATTCTGTTGTATATATGAAGCTTTTAATCTAAATACTAAGGTAGGGCATTTAGGTTTTTTCCCTTTTACTTTCTGTTAATTCTATGATAAAAATAGTTGTGCATACATATACTTTACATAATTAGCAAATTTCTTTGGGATAAATTTTTAAAAGTGCAATCTGTATACGGGGTAAAAATGGGAGTTCATAACCCACTTGAATCAAATGTATGAAGTATGGTATGTCAAGAGCTTTGTAATGTTTTGAACAACCAATAAAAAAAAGGTATATTAAAAAAAAAGTGGATTTACTATGAAAATGTATTTGCTACTCAACTTTTTGTTTTGAAAAACTTAAAAGCCTGTGGAAAAGTAGCATGATAGAATGAATACATAGTAATCACCCTTGTATCCTCCATTGAAAAAATTTTTGCAACATTTGTTTTTTCTTTGTTTATAAAAACCATTTATTTCTGAGCCATTTGAGAGTAAGTTATAGACATCATGACATTACACCCTAAAAACACCAAAGCTGAGCATAATTTATCCCCAATAGTGGTTATTTAGCTTGGCATTTGTATTAGTGACTTAAACTGCAGTTATCTAGGTGGGGTTGGTCAGTTTACATTGTTACCAAATCAATTTCTGTTTTTATTGAATCTGTTCTCAAAACTGCAATTTTTTTCCCTAGTAACTCCAATGGGAACAGGTAGCAATCGACCTCAGGAAATAGAAATTGGAGAATCAGGTTTTGCTCTATTATTTCCTCAAATTGAAGGAATAAAAATACAGCCCTTTCATTTTACTAAAGATCCAAAGAACTTAACACTTGAAAGACATCAACTTACTGAAGTAGGTAAGTTACTGTTATTTATTGTTAATTGTTTTGTTGGTTAACTTTGTTTTAATTTTGGCTTGTTGGTGGATATTAGTTTCCCTTAAGAGAATCCAAATGAAGTACACCTGTTACTGGCAACATGGCTAATTCAAGCCAGTGATTCACAGAAGCTAGTACTGTACATTTTGTGTTTTTTTTTTTTTTTTTTTTTTTTTGGTGTCAAATCATTTTATTGAGAAAGTTGGAGATTAAGGAGTGCGGAAGCATTGAAATTAACGATTAAATCTGACGTCCGCTGCAGGGCCAGACCTTGCCGCCGCTGAAAAGCAGTACTGTACATTTTGTTAGAATTGGTTTGCTTTTTAAATTGTTTGTCTTAAAGCCCAAGAGGACAGAATGAAAACAATTACATTAGTACTCTGTGGATAATACATTTATTTGTATTTAATTATGGATTTTGAAGGAATTCTTGCTCTTTGAATAGTGTCTTATAATTTTGCCTAGTTTTGTTTTTGTAAGCTGAAAAGTATTTTACACTTATAAATAAACATTTATTATAAAAGGTTTTAGAAGAAACAAGTTGTCTCTAAGTGGACTAATAAGATAGGAACTGGCATAGTGAAATTGGGAAGTGTTAGGAAAGGTCTGGGAAGGCACAGTCTATCCAGTCAGGGTTGTACTGGGACCAAAAGGCAGGAAGTGTGGCTGGAAGAGGTGAGTCATGAGAGGTGAATGTGAAGAGGTAGAGGGCTGGCTGTGGGTCCAAGTTTTGATGAAAAAAATGCAGTAAGCAACAAACTAGCTACTTAAGCAAAACATTGTGAAGGCCTTTTATCTACATCTGCAAATGAACTGATTGGACTTTAACTCATTAAAGTTAAGGTACAGATAAGTCTCCATTATTTGAAGTGGCGCTTATCCCAGCAGGAATTTAAAAAAAAAAAATGTGTAGCAATAAAGAGAAGATTTGGTTGGTTTAGTAATGGGGGGGCGGGGAGGACTAGCCACATTAAGACTAGTTTTTACAACTACCCTTGACAATGTAAAAAGGCCAAAACACAAAATTTGGGCATCAGCAACTAAGACTAGTAGCTATGAGCAGCAGGCCATTTAATTGGAGGATGGCAAACATATATAGGAAGAGTATGGAAAGTTTAAACAGCCAGCTCTGTGAGGCAGGGTAGTGTAGCTATTGAGAATTCAGTTTTTTATCTGCCCTAGTTCTGCTACTGTCCAGGCTTTTAGGATGAGTTTCTTAACTTTTCTAAACCTGTTTACTTTTCTATAAAGTGAAAATAACTACAGAGTTATGGGGATTAAATGAATGACTTATGTAAAGCACGAGGGCCTGAAGAGAAGGGAATCAGTTGGAGGAAATTAGCAAATGATTAGATCTAAGGGAGTAGAGAGACTGGGGGACTTAGTGATAACTTCTGAATTTTGTATCTAGGAGATAGGGACAGTGGTGATTCAGAGAGCAGATGTAGGGAACTCTGGGACAGAAGCAGCAAGATGTGGGAGAAACAATTAGGAAAATCAGACCCCCTCTGAGACACTTGTTTTGGCTTTTGATTTAATGTTTTTGCTAAAGGCTTTCTGGCCAAATCTTTTTGCTTCCTTTGTCTGGAGGAGTGGTATGCCTCCCTGGGCAGTTCTTTCTCCTCTGTTATCCTGGGTACCTTGGGAGTCTTCACTGAGGTTCTTATATGTAGCCCTGGTTGAAGCTAGAATCCTCATTTTGTCAGTTCACAAGAAAGCCAAAATCTTGAGCAGAAGAAAGCATCCATTTTATGATAAAATTGTAATTTTTGTTAGACCATGTTTGCTTTGTGGACCAAATATAGGAGTGGGGACACAGCCCCAGGTTTATCCTGCTTGGTGATGCTTTCATATACTGTTCTTTTCTGAGCTACTTGCTGTGATCAGTTTGAGCCAAGGCATCATTTTCATCCTTTGGGAAACTGAAGCGTTGCCTAGATTGGGATGGTAATTTCTGTTCTCTCATGCTGTCTTATGTCCCACTTTTATGTGTTTCTAAATTTGGACCATCTCAATTAGACAAGGAGTGAGTGAGTGGCTGGAGGCTGTGATGTGGGGCCTGGGTTGCTGAACCAGATACTGGGGGCCAGATCCTTTTCTGTCTTTTATGACACTGGAAGCATTCTGTTCATATCAGTGTCCCTCAAAGTTTTTCTGTAAGGGGCCAGATAGTAAAATGTTTTAGGTTTTGCCAGCCAGATAGTCTTAGGTGCATCCGTTCAGCTCTGCTGTGGGAGTGCAAATACAGTTGGCAGTGCGTAGAAAAATGGCTGTGCTCGGATGAAGTTCTGTTTATAGAGAGAGAGGGGATGTGGGCTGGATTTGGCCTATGGACTTAGTTTGTCTTCACTTACTTTATTGTACATAACTGCAGCGATTATAAGATGTCCTGTGAAAGGCTCATAATAAAAGGGACTAAATTCTCTTATAAAACTGGCAATGGCCCTGAAGACAAGGGATCTTGTGTTTGATTTAATTATAGTTCTACTAGCTAGACCCTGCATATAGGAGATGACATAATCTGACCTAGTGTTATAGTACACATAATTTTATACACATACTGTTATATTCTTTTTGGAGGAATCTTACCAGAATGTGCATTAAGAGAGTAGGTGTAGATTGTTGTAAGGTCTGTATAATATTCTGTGTTAAAATTAGTCTCTGGAATGAGAAGGGGGGGCAAAACCCACAATTGATTCTTCAGGATGCAAAAACTATCTCAGTAAAATTTCATAAAAAGCAGTTTGTGGAGCTAGAGTTATGGCTCAGTGGTAGAGCGCTTGCTTAGCAAGTGTGAGGCACTGGGTTTAATTCTCAGGAGCAGATATAAATAAATAAAAAATAAAGGTGCATTAACTAAAAAATATTTTTGGAAAATTTGAAAAAAGAAAAACTGGGTATATGCTGCGTGTAAGCCTCTGTTTGTGATGACATTGTCCCGGCCTTCTGGACCTCCCAGTTAGCAGGGCAGGCTGACTGAATGAAAAACCATACTACCAGGTAGAAGCACAGATGTGCTAGAAAACATACAACCAGGGGGCTTAATAGACTTAATAGAACCTTGGGAAGATGGAAAGGAGGCTTGGGTAGGAAGGAGTATCGTGGGTGGTTTTTATATTCTTTGCTGGTTGCTGACAAAAAAACAGCAAGATAGCCAAGAGATCAAAGAACGAAATAGAAAAACCTGGTAATTACTGTGAGGGTGTAGAAGTGAGTTCCCACAGCTCAGCTGGGAAACCTAAAGAATATCCTGCCTGGGAGGCATGAGAGGAGGGGTCTGTGATGGAAGCTGAACCCGCAGGCAGAGGCCAGTCAGGAAGGCCAAAGGAGGAATGTTGGGAAGCTAGGAGTCTCAATACAGGAATGGCATGATCAGAAATGTCTCTGGAAAATGCTGCTGTGGCTGCAGGGTGCTGGTTGTTGTAGAGGAGCACAGGAGTGGATGCAGGATGAGTTTAATTTGCTTTGTAGTGTACATATTTCAAAACATTATCTTGTACATAATAGCTATATATTCACATTAAATTTTTTAAAAATCAGATGCAGGAAAAACAGGATGCTGTTGTATTGGTTAAGGCAAGAAGAAGTGGCATTTGGGGCAAGGGTAGTAGCGGGTGGAGTTGAAGAGAAGTAGATCAATTCCAGGGAAGGTTCAGAGGTGAATGGATGGCATTTGGTGACTGATTCAATATTTGACGTTGAGAATTAAGAGAAGTGGCATTGATCTCACCTAGGTTTTTGGCTGGATACAGTTTCACAGTAAAGAACGGACTAGACGGTGCAGTTTGGAGGAATCAAGTTATTAAAAGTTGTTTTGAGGGGCTGGGGATGTGGCTCAAGCGGTAGTATGTTTGCCTGGCATGCACGCGGCGCTGGGTTCAATCCTCAGCACCACATATAAATAAAGATGTTGTGTCCGCCGAAAAACTAAAGAATAAATATTTAAAAAAAAAACAACTTCTCTCTCTTTAAAAAAAAAAAAAGTTGTTTTGAACATGTTGAATTTGAGATGGAGATAGTAAGTAGACAGTTGACTGTCAGAGCTCAGGAGAGTGGTCTGGATGCAGGATGCAAATTTGAGAACCATCAGGTGATGAATGGTAACTGAAGCAAAGGGGACTGACCAGCTTCAGTGATGTGAAGCTGGGAGGGAAGGCACTCATCAGTGTGTTGACGGCCCTGGGCTTACTGAGGTAATATTTCTGTCATATCCCTCCCTTTTTGCACTGAAGACTTTATTGAGACTACTCAGTAAGTAGATTGAGTAATTTCCTAACTTTTCTTTGACTAGCCATGACATTATCTTGGGCTAGTCACTTCTCTGGGGTTATCAATTTTGTTTGTAAAATAAGATTAGACCCTTGATCCAGAGGCATTTTCTAACTGAAAATCTGTTTTATAATTTTTTTTTTCTCTCAGAATTTGCTAGGCTGGTCTATAATAGAAAAAAAAAAGACCCTTTAGTAGTGATCTGTGAGACCTGGTATTAAGAAATAACAACATCCTTTCATTATCCAAATCAGTGATTTATTGTGTAGAGAATTAGAAATGACCCAGAGGCAGTTTCCCAGAATCATTATTTGGTTTGGTAATTAGTCATTTTCCTACCCCCATATTTTGTTGAACGAGCCTTATTTCTAGTAACCTCACCTTTGGTCTATCAAGATGGAAGTCATGTGGCCAAATCAAATGGAAACACAAGTGTGGTTAGGTTTTGGATTTCTTTCCTGTCCCAGAAGCCACTCTTTTTGATAATGCTGTTGAATTTCTAATTGATGTTCTTCTATAAACAAGGTGCCAGAGGCTCAAGTGAAACCCTGGGAGGGAGCTTTGGGAGCCCAAACACAGCCTGATCCCTAGGACTCTGCCGCCCCCTGTTGCTAGCTGCTTTTAGTCCATATGCCACAGGTCAAACCTGTTCCTGTTTTCCAAAGGCTAATCCACCTTCACTCCCACCTATTCCCTGCAGTAGGTGGACAGAACCTATATTTCTGTGGTATAGTAGTTTCCCAAGGCTGCTGTAACAAAGTACCTTGATGACTTAAAACACCACAGATTTATTCTGTCACATTTAAGCAGTCAGAAGTCTGAAATCAAGGTATCAGTAGCGCCCCACTCCTTCCTGGAGGCTCTAGGGGCAAATCTGATGTCTCTTTCTGCTTTTATAGCCGCTGACATTTCTTATGGTTGCGTCACTGCAGTTTCTACTTCTGTGGTCACATTGCCTCCTCCTCTGACTCTCTCCTTTGTCTTTTATTTTAAGGGCACTTGTCATTGGACTTAAGTGGCCACCTGGATAATTCAGGTGATCTCATTTCAAGATCCTTAGTGAGGTCTGAAAAGATTCTTTTTCCTAAAAGAGGCTCACATTGATAGATTGGGTTTAAGGTGGATATGCACTGTAGGGGGTACCATTTACTCAACTACATGTAGTTGGTGTGTTTTGTCTGAAATTTCTTTGGCTCTTTAAATTCCTCAGCTGATAATCCTACTGTTCTCTGCAAACCAGTGTCCCTTTCATTTCAGGTGGTGGTCTGTTTGGAACCAGGTATGTCCATAGAGAGCTGCTGCTCAGTACATAATTTCTTTCTTGCTTTCTTACTTGTTGGGTATTGATTGTATTATTTTCAAATAGGTTTTCTAATGAAAAAAAATAATTGCAGCTAAGAATTCGAGTTAGTATTTAAAAGTTTGTAAAAAATGGGAAACTTGACAGCTGAAGCACTAAATTGCACTTCATTAAGAGTGCCAGTAATTAGCAGTAGCATTTCGTTTTGCAAGATGTATAAGATAATTCCTCTTCTAAGGCTGTTTTTAATTATTGCTTTTCGTTTCTGTGCAGGTCTTSTAGATAACCCTGAACTTCGAGTGGTCCTCATCTTTGGCTATAATTGCTGCAAGGTGGGAGCCAGTAATTACCTGCAGCGAGTAGTCAGTACTTTCAGTGATATGAATATCATCTTGGCTGGAGGCCAGGTGGACAACCTGTCATCATTTACTTCTGAAAAGTAAGCTTTCTGTGCTTCTGATTTCTTCTGTGAACGAAGGGAAATGGTCTCAGGTTTTCATTACTGTAGACTTAGGTTAAGGGGCTTACTCAACATAATTCTGCTTATAGTTGAAGAATTAAACATAACTTGTATTGTCCTTTAAGAATGTCTTCTTAGTTGGACTCACATTCTTCTTAAAATTGATTTTCAGCATTGCCTGTTGATCAGCTCTGGCACTCTGTGACCTCAGTATATGCCATTTCTGCATAACAAGAAATCATAAATTAAGTTAAAATAAAATAAAAGCAAAGGCATTTTTCCCCCAAGTACAGAATAGATTTGCTAATCAGGGACACAGGTTCAATCAGAAACCAGACAAATGTTTTGATGTTAAGGGGAAAGAGGACTAGGTTTTTAAAGGGAAAGGGGGAGGAATGGGGTGAGGCCAAGTAACTTGTTTTGAACAATTTTTAATTGACTCTGCTACTCAAGTTGTTTTCAGTGACTTTAGATTGATGTTGGGGTCTGTCCACATGTTAAGCTGTATAGTATAGGGGGCTGTTGCAAGAATGTCATCAGTAAGCAGTCTTTCGAAACAGACAGCTAGTTAGTCTAAGCTCCATGACTGGAAAATGTTGTAGGCAGTAGGATAACAAATACTAGTCTAGGGTCTTATATTCTTTTCAGACAGCATTGTTTGGAGGTTAAAGATTGAGGCAAACTACAGCCTTTCAGTGTGTTCCAAGGCTCACAGAGGAATTCTCTTGARCAAACTATAGCCATTTTATTTCCACACTTTCTGTTTTTCCTTCTTTAAAAGAAGGACACATATGGTTAAAGTGTATTTTCAGGGCAGAACTTCTCAGACAGAGCCTCTAATATGTTCAGTGTTTTAGAAATCTTCTGGTGTTAGGGATGTGGGGTGGAATAACATCTGTGGCAAATCTATTTGGTCACAAAACCTTTTCTCCATGGAACATCTTGCAGGTATTTTATTGGTTTTCAACATATAATTTTAGAAATTCTGTACCATTTTGAAAGGTTGTTTCAAGTTTGAAAATTGATTTTATTACTAAAACTTTTGCTTTCAGAGATAGAAATATCCTATCTTTGGATCCATTACTTCCTTTCCAATCTTGTTTCATTTTGTTGCTGCACAGGGTCTCTATTTCAAATTTGAGTTTGAGCTATGGACATGTTTCTGAAAGCAGTAACATGAGCTCCTACTCCACCCCCCAATGCCATCTCTAAACACTAGTATTTATTCCTCACTGTATTTGTGTTTAGTATTTGGATCCTGGAATGGTGACATGGGACAAAGAGTAATATACATCATCCCAATATACATCATCCCAGTTACAGGGTCTCTCCTGGTAGCCTCCATTGATGTACCAGGGAAAGTAAACAGCTAAGTCCAATGTCCCTGGACTGCAAGTGAGAAAGAAAGTATGTTAAATTTTAGACAGTAGGATAACAAATACTAGACTTTACATACATCTGAATCTCAGTGGTACTATCTATTTTCCCTCTTCCCTAGATTTTCTTCTTTGCTATTACCTTTAAACTGTAAATAACCAATGGTGATTTAACATCTATTTCAGACTTATAAATCTATTGGTGTGGCTATTTATCATCTATTTTTTATACCAATATGGGAAATAAGCTCCCTAAAATAATTACACCTCACACATTAATTTTAACGTACTCTTTGTTCTCTGTCAGTGGCTAAGAGAGTCCATAAATGCTCCATCTTAACAGCAAGCGGATAACCCAACCTGCCTCAGCCCCCCAAAAGATAAATAATTGAGGCAAGAGAGTGACAACATGTGTTACAATTGTATGCCAAAGAGGAAATGTGACAAAAGGGAACCTAAAAAGAAGATAGAGGGGCTGGGGTTGTAGCTCAGTGGTTGAGCGATTGCCTTGCATGCGTGAGGAATTGGGTTTGATACTCAGCACCACATAAAATAAATAAATAAAACAAAGATATTGTGTCCATCTACAACTAAAAACAATTAAAAAAAAAAGAAGATGGACTCTGCCTCTTTCAAACTGGTTTTGCACAGGCTATTCTTAATATCTTCTTAATCTTTGAGTCTGGTTTCCTGCTAGCCCAGTGAATCTTAACCGTTTTGTAGATTCATATGTTGATAAAATGATAGAAATTAGAAATGTAAGGCATTTACTTTGTTTTCCCCCAGTGGGTGTTCACTATCTATACTTTATAACTCTGACACTATCTAATGAAAAAAAAAAAGTGCCAGGTAAATAAAGACAATGCAGAAGTCCTTATGATTAGGCTAAGCCAAATTCTAGGCTCAAAGTAAGTATTTGTTTACACAACAAATATAAAGCTAAGACTTCTGGAGTATTAACTTTTAAAATTCCATGATTATTTTTAATTATTTAAAATTAATTTTTAATTAATTTAAAATTATTTTTAATTATTTAAAATTTAATTATATTTAATTATTTAAAACTACGTTTTAAAATTCCATGATTATTTTTAAATACATCTCTTTCAGAATTTGACAGGTGGTAGGGAAGAATACCACAGTGTAAATCATACCAAGAAGCTTCATTAACTAGGTTTCTAAATGAGAAAATATTGGTGAATGTGCATGACATATCTTTGTATTTGTGGCTGAAAAGGACAGCTGCTTACTTCTTGATCTGCCTTCAACAATCTAACATACCACTTATATCTGGGATGTGGTCTTTGACCAGGCAGAGGCTGCTAAAGGTAGCAGTGTCTCTCCCTCAGTGCATCATAGGGGTTTTCTTCTATACTTTAGGTATTTCATGATACATTGCCCCTCTTCTATTTTTTCAGGAACCCTCTGGATATTGATGCCACAGGCGTGGCTGGACTGTCATTTAGTGGGCAGCGAATCCAGAGTGCCACAGTGCTTCTTAATGAGGATGTCAATGATGAGAAGACTGCTGAGGCGGCCATGCAGCGCCTCAAAGCAGCCAACATTCCAGAACAGAATACCATTGGCTTCATGTTTGCATGTGTTGGCAGGGGCTTTCAGTATTATAGAGCCAAAGGGAATGTAGAGGCTGATGCATTTAGGAAGTTTTTCCCTAATGTTCCCTTGTTTGGCTTCTTTGGAAATGGAGAAATTGGATGTGACCGGATAGTCACTGGGAACTTTATATTGAGAAAATGTAACGAGGTAAAGGATGATGATCTGTTTCACAGCTATACAACAATAATGGCACTGATTCACCTGGGGTCATCTAAATAAAGCCATCTTTAAAGTGGCTTTTGCAGTATTCAAAGTATTGACTTTCAACTTCTGCCTTTTCCACAAAATGGAAATTTGGGATATGTATATTTCAAAAAAAGATAACTTTAGCTCTGTCTGTTCTGTAGCTTTGATAGATGTTCTGAGATSACATTTGGGTAATTTTTAATATATTAGATGAAGGACAACTTTGTACACAAYACACACCACGAGTTGAAAGCTTTGTGTTGGGCACAAGCAAAGAAGTTGTGGCTGTGTTCACCTGTCGAAGCTGCTGTATAAGGTGACTTTCAATATAGTCTTCCTGCAAGGAATGATCAAAGGGTGATTCACCAGTGAGATAAAGATTTAAGGCATTCTGCATCTACCTCTTTGTATTGGAAATGACCTTTTAGCAGAATCTGGAAGATATTTTTTCCTCCCTTAACATCAGAGAAAAATGAAATGGGTTGAGCAATCTTTCTGCTTTCCAATTTTACCAGTCCCCCCCCCCCAGATACTGTAATAATATAATTACTTTTTTACTTATGATAAAAATTTAACTTTGTTTTGATACTCTAAAAGTTGCTCAGATAAAATTGTTGAGAGACTTTTATAAATAAAACTATTTTCCTTAATAAAGAAATTCCAAGAGAAGAAATTTTTCTCATAGTTTCGTATAGCTAATTGGCAGACCAGAAAATTCTATCACCTTATTTTGATTTTATACCAATAAAACATACCTTATAAACTCATTCAGATACTTTTCTGTATTTCAAAAGCAAACTAATCCTTTGTAAATGAAAAACTGGAATGTAGGTATTTGTTAGCTGGTCAGTCCTATCATTCAAGTTTGAATTTCTGACACACAAATATTTGAGAGGGGCAGAGAATACCAGTATCCCCTTAATATCCATTCTTACCTTTTATTCTATCACAGTGATAGAAACAAACATTTTGGGCATGTCCCTCCCAGAACAGAGACTACATTTCTCAGTGTTTCTTGCAGGTATAATTGTTTTTTGGCTGATGAACATGATGGGAAATGATTCCCTTTTTCTGCCTCTTTATCTTGTTTGAAATGTACATCTGGTCATGAACCATCTTGGATGCTGCCAAGGAGGCAATACCCATTGTGGAAGAAAACCAGAGATTCTGGGTCCCTGTATATCTTTGTTGAAGTACCTCCATAGCAGACCTGACCTGCCTGACCCCAGAGTGATTGTTTTACAAAATAGAAATCAGCTTGCTTAAGCAGCCTTCTTCTTCCATCCCTAGGGCTTTATTGTATATGATCTTATAAAGTGAGATAAATGACGTGGCATTTTTGTAGTGATTAGGGGTTTTAACAGGGCAGTAGAAAACTTGCAATATAAGTAAAATCAAATGTATTAACATTGTTCCTGATTTTCTGTCACTTTTCTCCCAACTTTTTACCTCGTAGATTTTTCTCTTGCTATTCATGTGTATAATACTTAAAAGGTTCCTTTATTTTATGAGTATTTTAAATATTCCTGAAGAGTTAGTTCCTTTTGGAGTTCCAGAAAAGTCCAAAGAAAAGTTTGATTGAGAGATTTTTTTTAATCTGTATTTCTCTTTAGCCATTTGTTAACTTTTCTATTAACTTTTGTTATTTGACACTGATAAGTTAGCTAGTAACTCCAAAATCCTAGTCCTTGAATATGCTTAAGTAGAAACATACACAAATATTTTAGAAATCTTGTTCCTGATATGAATCAGAATTCGTTGAATAATAGAGGAAGGAGGATTTTAAAAACTGAAATTATGAATAAAATAGGCATGAGAATTACATGGATTTTTTTAAAAATTAATACTCATAAAATGTTTTGCTACTTCTCAAAGGAGAATCTGCCACAGGATAACTTGCTAAACATCTGACATTGTTTTGGGGTTTCTTTTAATAGGTTAGCCTTTTGGCACTTGTCAGAGACAATAAAATCATTCAATCACATGGTTGTAATCTTAGTACAAAGTAAAAAGGGGAGAACTTGACCCAATAGAAGTAATAGTATATCTCGATAACAAAAGCCATCCTTTCTGCATCTCAGAGGTTGTGAGGTTGTATGCAAGTAATTTAACTAAAGTCAGAGCTATATTACAGTTTTGAAAGATCTGTCCTACAAGCAAGCATTAAAGAGTAATTACTGAAATTCCTTGAGATGGCAAACCATTGTAGCCACTTGTGAAACTGCAAAAATGATCACATAAAAAAAAAAAAGACAGACATAAAGGTGAATCCTTACAGTCTTCACATGCTGAGCTGTCTTAAGATCAGATGATATGATGGTTTATTTAATCAAGACATTTAAAAACACAGATTTCTTATACTTTGAAAACAAAATCATTTGTGGGGCTGTAGTTTGCTTTATAAAAGGCTGCATCAAGGAACATATTTCCATTCCCTTTGGTCCAAGTAGAATGAAAACTCTTTAACAGCCAAATAGAAATAGGAGGAGGAGGGAAGGTGGATCTGGGGATATACCCTGTGGAATGATTTAACAGTAGGTTGTTTCACTACTATTTTTTTCAATTTTGCTTAAAATTAAAGGATCATCTCAACCCATGAAGCCAGAGAGCAAAAAGATTTGCCATGATTTACACTGCACATTTAACAAAAAATAAACGTGCCGAGAATTATATTGCAAGAATAAATTCACAAATCTAGAACTTTCTATGTAATCTGAAGAGCCTTTCAAGTAAAAATATAATTGCTTTTGTCATACCCATACGGTCTGGTCCAAATTAGCATTGCCATAAAATCAGTTTTAAGGGAAACAGAAGACCCCAAATTTCCCTGATGGTAAATCATGAGATTCCATGATTGATTTGATTTTTCAGTTGTAAAAACTGAGTGTGAGTCGGCTTAATGAAAATGTCAAATGAAATCTGTAATAACATCTTTGTTTGATGAACAAAATTAATATATATGTAGAGTGTACTAGAAAGCTATTTTAACGTGGGCCCTATATAGGTTAGGATAAGTAGTCAAGTATTTACGTTATTTTTATTGTATATATTTCACTTCTGCCCTGTGCCACAACTGAAGACTAGTTACTAGAATGTATGCAACTGTAAACACTGGCAGAAGCCAATAAATGTCTTTTAATGTTTTGGTGCTAAGAGTTATATGGAGTTTTTCATTTTTAAACTTTTTTTTATCAAAGTTTTTAATCTCTAATGACTTATCACAGCCAGTGAGATTGGTTAATATTGTCTTTAAATGCAAATGATCAGATTGTGGAGAATTTTGAGACAGTCTTAATGTTTTTCTAATTCTGACTAAACAAAATTCAATCACCATACATTTGGTTCTTAATAAATATACTCTGTTCAAAGTCATGTCATGATACTAGAATTACCGATGGGATTAACACACAGTTCACTTGAGTTACACCAGCAAAATCATGGATTAGGAAGCTCCCAACTCATTCTCCAAAAGAAACAACAAAAACACGCAACTGTCTGAACCAACTTTGTTAGAGCTCTGGAAAATAGTCAAGAGGTTCATTGCAATCAAGAGAATGCCCAACTAAAAAAACCATCTTCAAAATGGTAGGAAAATTTTGTGACTTTTACTTTTTTCCCCCACCCCAGGCACAGTGATTGAAAGTCTCATTCTTGAAGCAGTAAAAATTCAGTTTCCATCCATAAAATTGAAGATGTGGAATAGACCTTATTTACAAATTATTGGAAACATTTTTTAACTTGTCTGTTCAACATCTGAAGGATTGACCCAAGGTCTTTATTTTACCTTACTTGGAAGGTAGGCACTGCTTTAAGAACTATAAGGATCTACTGATGCCTGGGTCAAGATATTGTGGGTAGAGATGTAAAATAGACCAGCTAGGGCCAGAGGAGAAGCTGGAATGAGGCTTTGAGAATTAGGACATTGAGAAGCAGTTGTGTACAAGAACAATTTAGAATGTCACACATGCCTAGGAAGACACTTGCGAAGACCCTAAGCTTTCACATGTGGTCCATATTGGAGAACCGCCCTAGCACAGAGTCGGTTTGCAAAAACAAGAACATTTAAGGGAATTTTTGTCAAAGTAGCTGAATGAGAAGAAAGAAACCAGAGACTTGAATGATCACACAAAGAACAGTTTTTGTAAAAATTGCTATCAAAGCAACTGGATAAAAGCCCTTAAAAATAAATCAGCCAGCAAATTTTGAGAAAAGGAGAGAATCTGATGTCTAGAGTTATGATGGTGAAATGCTTTTTTCAACTCAGAATTACAAGGGATACAAAAGAATAGGGAAATAAGGCCCATTGAAAGAATCAAGATAACACGCTGTCCCTTATGAAGTCCAGACATTAAACTTACTAGATAAAAGATTTAGAGGCTCGGGAAGCTGAGACAGGAGGATCATGAGTTCAAAGCCAGCATCCGCGAAAGCAAGATGCTAAGCAACTCAGTGAGACCCTGTCTCTAAATAAAATACAAAAAAAAAAAAAAAGGGCTGGGGATGTGGTTCAGTGGTCAAGTGCCCCTGAGTTCAATCCCTAGTACCAAAAAGAAAAAGAAAAAAAAATTCTAAAATATAGTCAAGGAATTAGATGATGATAAATGAACAAAATCAGTTTCAAGAAAAAGGAATTATAAAAAATCAGAAAATTCTGGAGGAGAAAAATATAAGAAACAATTTTTACTAGATGGATACAGCACATTTGAATGGGGGAAGAAAAGATGAGCAAACTTTTTAGAGACAATTGAAAACAAGAAATTAAAATATGTGAACACAGCATAAAGAACAAAAAAGAATGAAGACAAGCAAACAGCATAACAGACTCGAGGGACACCAGCTATGTGCGACAGACAGACAAACCTAGTTCTAGCTACAAAATATCCATTCTTTTCAGGGGCACATCAGTGCTTGTGTTCAGCCACCCTTTACTTAGTAATAGCCCTGAAGCACAAGAATACACAAGAATAGTGATGCTGGCAGTTTTATTGCAGTATATTATTATATTTGTACTATTACAAATATATATTATAAATATATATGTGCACTTTTATACACACACACACACACACACACACACACGCGCACTGGTGACCAAACCCAGGTCCTGAAACATGCAAGGCAAGCATTCTACCACTAAGCTATCCCTCCAGCTCTGTTGTTAATCTCTTATTGTACCTAATCCTATAAATTATCCTAAGTATGTATGTACAGTCATGTGTTGGTTAGAGACAAGGATACCCTGAGAAATGTGTCCTTCACTGTACAAACATCATAAGATATTCTCAAACTAAGTTACAACATCACTAGGAATATAACCTTATGGACTACTGTTATTGACCAAACCATCTATTATTTAGTACATAACTGCATATATATATGGTTTGGGACTGTCTGTTGTCTCAGGCATCCACTGGGGGTCTTAGAATGTCGTGCCTGTGGATACAGGGGGATTACTGTTTAGGCCAGCATCCCTTATGAATATTGATGCAAATTCCTCACTTCAAATACTTGAAACTGAATGCAACAGATTGAAAAGGATTATACACCATGACCAAGTGGGACTGATTCCTAGAATGCAGGGATGACAACATATAGAAATAAATATAATACTTTATATTAATGGGGGGACATTACTTGATCATCTCAGTGAGAAAAGGCATTTGATAAAACTTAATTCCCTTTTATGAGTGAAAATACACTCAACAAACTAGTAGAAGGAAGCTACCTCAATACAATAAAATCCATATATGAAAATCCCACAGTGCTCATCATACTCAGTGGGGAAAGATAAAAGTGTTTCCTTCTAAGTTTAGTAGCAAGATGAGGATGCTCACCTTCACCACTTCTACTCAATGTCTACTGGAGTCTTAGCCAGAGCAATCAGGCAAGTAAAAGAAATAAAGGCCTCCAAATTAGCAAGAAAAAAATTATAAATTATCGTTTTGTAATTGTAGGATCTTAATATGTAGAAAACCCTAATGAATCTACAAAAAGACTGTTAGAGCTAAATGAATTCAGCCAAGGGGCAGAATACAAAATCAACACAAAAATCACTTGCACTTCTATATATTTATAGTGAACAGTCTGAAAAGGAATCATGTGAACAATTCTATTTATAATAGCATCAAGAAGAATACTTAGGAATTAACCAAGGAGGTGAAAGACTTTGTTATGGTTTAGATATGAGGTATCCCCCCGAAGCTCCTGTGTTAGACAACGCAAGAATGTTCAGAGGTGAAATGGTTATGTTATGAGAGCTTTAATTAGCATATTAATCAATTGACATGGATTAACTGGTACCTGTGGCTGGAAGAAGTAGGTCACAGGGTGTGCCTTTGGCTTTATATTCTGTCTCTGGTGAGCAGAGCTTTGTGCTTCCTGTTGCCATGTTCTGAGCTGCTTTCCTTCCACCATGATGTTCTGCATCACTTGGGCCCAGAGCTATGGAGTTGGTCATCTATGGACTGAGACCTATGAAATTATGAGCCCCAAATAAGCTTTCTGTGTTTTCTTGATGGATCTTTTGGTCACAGCAATACAAACTGACTAAAGCAGACGTACAATGAAAATTACAAAATACTGCTAAAAGAAATTAGACAAATAATTGGAAACATAACAGTACTCCTCAAAGAGAGCCACAGATTGAATGCAATCTCTATCAAAAACTTTTTTTTTTTTTTTTTTGGCAAAATGGGGAAATGCTCACTGAAGTTCAGATATAATCTCAAAAGACCCTGAACAGCCAATCAAAGTGAGAGGACTCACGCTCCTGGATTTCAGAATGCTCTGATTCTGGTATAAAAAGACATGTAAAGACCAATGGAATAGAAAAGCCTAGGAAAGAAACCTCTGTATAATGAAATGTTTTTTGAGAAAAGTACCAAGGCTATTTTCAACAAGTGGTGTTGTGCAAGTTTGACAGGCATGTGCTAATAAATAAAGTAGGATCCTACCTAACACCATATATAAAACTGAACTCAGAATGGTCCAAAGACCTCAACACAGGAGCTAACACTAAAACTCTTAGAAGAAAATAAGGAACTCTAAGGTTGCTGTATTTGACAACAAAATTGCAGGCAATAACAGAAAAATAGACCAAACTATTCATCAAAACTTAAACATTTTGTGCATGAAAAGGGTACTATTTCAAGAGAGTAAGAAGGCAATCCTCAGATTGGGAGAAAATATTTGCAATTTGCACAATGTATGGATTTAACATCAAGAATACATGCAGAATTTGGGGYTAGAGTTGTGGTTCAGTGGTAGAGTGCTTGCCTAGTATGCATAAGGTACTGGATTTGATCC